GAGAACCACGTGTTGAAAAACCACCCGCCCTCAATCCGTGAAGCTCTTGCACATGTTGAAAACGAATGTGCGCAGATCCAAGGCGAGATCCACCGGTTGAAAACGATCCGCCCTCAATTCGTGAAACTCTTGCATGTGTTTGAAACGAGTGCGCGCGGCGCTAAGGCGAGAGCCACAATTTGAAAACGACCTGCCCTCCACGCCCGGCCCGCCCTAACAATTGGCCTCGGGGTGCGACAGGGAGGAATTATCTATAAGGAGAAGGAGGAGGATCAGGTAGAGGAGGAGAAGGAGGGGGAGGAGGAGGAGGAGGAAGAGGAGGAGGAGGAGGAAGAGGAGGAGTGGGTGGCGGAGGAAGGAGGAGGAGGGGGAGTGGAGGAGGACGGAGAGGAGGAGGAGGAGGAGGAGGAGGGAGGTAGGAGGAGAGGAGGACAGAGGAGGGGGACAGAGGAGGAGGAAGGAGGAGGAGGAGGAGGAGGAGGAGGAGGAGGAGGAGGCGGAGGAGGAGGAGGAGAACTGAGGAGGAGACGAGGCGGAGGATGGAGAGGAGGAGGAGAGGAGGAGGAGGAGGAGGAGGAGGAGGAGGAGGAGGAGAGGAGGTGAGGAGGAGGCGAGGGAGGGAGGGAGGAGGGAGGGAGGGAGGGAGGGAGGGAGGGAGGGAGGGAGGAGGAGTAGGAGGAGGAGGGAGGAGGAGGGGGGGGGAGGAGGACGAGGAGGAGGAGGACGACGACGAGGAGGAGGAGGACGACGAGGAGGAGGAGGAAGTGGAGGAGGAGGAAGAGGAGGAATAGGAGGGGGGGGGGCGGAGGTGGAGGTGGGGGTGAGAAGGAGGAGGGGAGGAGGAGGGAGGGGAGGAGAGAACTGGAGGAGGAGGACGAGGCGGAGGAGGAGGAAGGTGGAGGAGGAGGGCGAGGCGCGAGGGGGAGGATGGGGAGGAGGAGGAGGCAGGAGAAAGGAAGGGAGGAGGAGTAGGAGGAAGAGGAGGCGGAGGAGGAGGAGGAAGTGAGGAGGAGGAGCAGGAGGAGGAGGAGGAGGAGGAAGGAAGGAGGGAGGAGGAGGAGGAGGAGGAGGAGGAGGAGGAGGAGCGAGGGAGGAGGAGGAGGAAGGGAGGAGGAGGAGGAGGAGGAGGTGGGAGAGGACGAGGAGGAGGAGGAGGAGGAGGAGGAGGGGGAGCGAGAGGAGGAGGAGGAGGAGGAGGCGGAGGAGGAGGACCTGGAGGGGAAGGAGGAGAAGGAGGAAGGGAGGAGGGTGAGGAAGGAGACTTGTGTAAACTCTTGACGCTTAAACCATGTTGTAACAATCCCTCCTTGCAAGCTCTCTCATAGGCCCACACAAACAAGAATGTTATGTTCTTTGGGGGGTCTGCCCCATTGGAGGGCAACCCTGTGCGAATGATTCATCGTACCAACACCACTGCCACGGCATGCCGCCACGACTCCACGTTGCCATTGTGGCTTGGCGATCCCCAAATGTGCCAGAACACCGTTCTTAGCGCCAAGCACAGCGAATCAATGCCAGTGTTGCGCAGTGCCAGTCCTACATCGTGCCGCAACACCGTTGTTGGGACGTCAACCGTCTTAATGTGTGAACTTGCCATAAACACGTAAGATACACTTGCGCGGTTCTGGGGCGAGAGTCACACTTTGGAAAAGGAACCGCCCTCCACCCGTGACGTTCTTGCATGTTCTTAAAGGCGAGCGCGCGTCGTTGAGGCGATAGCCATGTTTGGAACCATGGCCCGCTTCCAATCCGTGAAACCGCTGCAAACTTCTGACATGAATGTGCGCGGCGCGAAGAAGAGAGCCACACCTTATCCGTAAACCGATTGCACATTGACATGACGAATGTGCGCGGCGCAGAGGCGAGAGCCACATTTGAAAACTATGCGCCTTCCAGCCGTGTGACTATTGCAATTGCTTAAATCAGCGGCGCCAAAAAGAGGGCCACGTGTTGAAAAGGAATCGCCCTCGATCCGTGTTTAATCCGTTTGTGCGCGCCGCTCAGGCGAGACCCACATTACATTATCCTGGCGAAGGACCTAACCGTATGCAATTGTGAATACCGCAATTGTGATAATCTCCTTCGGTGGAGCTCCCTCGCCCACGAAGCGTGTGAGGGGTGTGCCGACATAGGGCTTGAACTGCATGCGAACGCATCCAGTGGGACCTTCGGTGACGTTCCCTTTGGGGCCACGGAACGTGTGAGGGATGTGCCGAAATTTGGGGTGGAACCGCATGCGAACGCAGCCGCTGGGGCCTTAAGTGGAGCTCCCTATGGGGCCACGAAGTGTGGGGGTGTGCCGTCATAGGGGTGGAACTGTATGCGACCGCAGCCAGTGTAGCTTTCGGTGGAGCTCCCTATGTGGGTGCGAAAAGTGTGAGGGGTGTGTGCGTGTGTGTGTGTGCCGAAATGTGGGGTGGAAGCGCATGCGAACGCAGCCACTGAGGCCTTCGGTGGAGCTCCCGATGGGGCCACGAAACGTTTCAGGGTCGTGCCGAAATGTGGGTGGAACCGCATGCGAACGCAGCCACTTGGGCCTTCGGTGGAGCTCCCTATGGGGCCACAGTACGTGTGAGGGACGTGCCAACATTTGAGGTGGAACCGCATGCGAACGCAGCCGCTGGGGCCTTCGGTGGAGCTCCCTATGGGGCCACGAAGTGTGTGAGGGGTGTGCCGCCATGGGGGTGGAACTGTATGCGACCGCAGCCAGTGTAGCTTTCGGTGGAGCTCCTTAAGTGGGGGCGAAACGTGTGAGGTGTGTGTGTGTGTGTGTGCGTGTGTGCCGAAATGTGGGGTGTAAGCGCATGCGAACGCAGCCACCGAGGACTTCGGTGGAGCTCCCTGTGGGGCCACGAGACGTGTGGGGGGTGTGCCGGAATCGGAGTGCAACCGCATGCGAACGCAGCCACTGGGGCCTTCGGTGGAGCTCCCTTTGGGGCCACGAAACATGTGAGGGTTTTGCCGAAATGGGGGCTGGAACCGCATGCGAACGCAGCCATTGGGGCCTTCGGTGGAGCTCCTTATGGGGCCACGAAACGTGTGAGGGATGTGCCGAAATAGGGTGTGGACTCACATCCGGACGCAGCCTTTAGGGGCTTCGGTGGAGCTGCTTACAGGGGCCACGAAACGTATGAGGGGTGTGCCGAAATGTGGGGTGGAACCGCATGCGAACGCAGCGGAGGGAGGAGGGGGGGGAGGAGGAGAGGACAGGAGTGAGGGACGCGGGGCGCTTTCCTTCAAAACGAGGACCCAGCACCACAGGATGGTTGGGGAAACAAACGCCCGCCCTCCATCCGTGAAGTTGTTGCAACTGCCCAGCTTCAGGATCATAGATGGTGAGAACGTCTTCAGCGAAACGCCTGGCCCGCGGAGGAGTTATTTTAAGGAAAATAGTGGAGGAAGAGGAGCGGGCGAGAGCCGTTGCCTCTCGCGGGGAAGGGGGGATCTCCGCCCAGCCCTGCCAGAAAGGGCAGGGTGCCCGCGGGGAGGCGGTGCCTATCCGACGGGGCCTGGCCAAATCCCAAGTTGCACGCATTGGTGCTCAGCAACCTGAGCCCAGCGCTCTTCTTCTGCTCATCCCTTTTCCCTCTTGCGAACGGCCCCCTCATGAGCCCCATCCACTGCCGCGACGTCTCTCCCCTCCCATCCACCTCGCCCCTTCCTGCTTGCAAGTTTGCTGTGTATGTGTTTGTCCTTCTGTTCTGGCAATATCAGGGCGCTTGTCTCGTCCGCCTCATTCCAATACGTACCCCTCTGTGCATAGCCAGGGCTCCAGCACTGGAGGCGGAGGCGGAGATTGGCGTGGGGTGGGTCGTGAGGATTTGGGCCACAGCTTGGAAGGCATGCCTTGGGGGCCAAATCGGCGACCCCATCGTGGGGCACGCTCATGGCTGGAGTTTCGCATCCTCTTTGAGTACCAAGCTCTCCGCATTACCCCAGTTCTTACTGAACGGCGGACTGCGCAGAGCTCGACTAAGCTAGGTTCTCGGATCTTCTCCCCCACCAGGTGTCCCACTTCATCTCCATGGATTTGCTCAACTCCCCTAGCACGGGGGCATGCGCTGCGTCTGCGACCCCGTTGAGGCCACCTCATTCCTCCAGCCTTCGTCACCCTTCCTCCCATCCGACCTCCTCCCTCCTCTCCCTCTCCGGTGTGCTTCCGCCCCTCGACGTCTCCCAGCCAATTCGTCGAGTATGATCAGCGCTGTTGAGAGCGGAGGCGCCCCGGCTGTAGCCCCGGAACCAACGCACCCGAGGCCAGCGGGCGCCGCCTCCTCAAGAGCCTATGCCTTCGCCGCCCCCCCTCGTCGCCGGGTGGCGGGCGGTTGCCTCGAGTGCCTCTGGGTCGGCCAGGCCAAGAGGTGGAGCCGGGGATGCCCGCGCTGCTCCACGTCTGCTGGGAATCCTCGGGCGGCCGTGGGAGTGGCAGTCCACCGAGTGCGGGCCAGTCGGAGCCCGAGAGCAGTGTCCAGGGCGGCCTCTTTCCGCCACCAGCTCCCCCTCCCCGAGACTGGCTTGGACGAGTGTATTTCTCCTCGCCTAGGCTGTCGCATCCGTCAGTCGGTGACCGCCGCCGGGTCTGGCGATTCGAGGTCGCGGTACGTTCCCGCGCACTCGGTCTCGCTTGAGGGTCTAGTGCTGGCCGCCGTGTCGGTCTGTGGTTGCCGAAGAGACCATAGGAGGTCGCGCGAAAGAGGCAATTACAAGAGGCGGCAGTTCGGGGAACCCATCGGGAGGGCAAATGTCCGAGAACGTGATCGCCGTTTGTTTTGTCTCCCCCCAGAACGTTCCTTTCCGGGATGTCTTTTGGAAAACAACCACTGCCAGCAACAGTCGTCCTGGCAGAGCGCCTGCACGTGAGGGCAGGAGTCCCAGAGTAGGGCAAGCATCTGTACTGTTGTGCAAGTGAGCAGTCTGCCTTCCCCCGACAGCAAGAAGTTCGTCGAAGAGGTCACCGCGCAAGTCACGGCGTGCACGAGATCCTGCGACTACGACGAAGG